AAAATACCCATAACATTACTAGAATTGTTACAAAAGTAATTAATTCATCAAATTTCTTAAATGTCGATCATTTAGCTAACACTTAAACAGAAGTTGACCATTTTTTATTGATGTAGAAACAAAATATTTCTAGGTGAATTTCAAAGGAGATTGATCAATCATCGTATGAGTACCCATAATGTTAATTTGATGGGTGCAATAGTGACTAATCTGGAAAAACCTGATATTCAACATTGTGAGATAAGTTGTAAACAATTGAAGGTCGAGACTAAGCACACTTCCTACGCCACCCTACCTTAAGAACAATACACTTCCTATGCTATCCTATCTTAAGAATAATGTCACAATCTTAAGCAATTTTATTCATGATAAGTTTAAAATTTTTAAATGGTTTTCATCACTGCTACAAAGAAGCGAGTGATTTAATTTGATGTTCAATCAAAATGACATTTTCCCACATAATATTCATATAATAACTAATTAACCTCCATATAATTTCACCTCGAAATTATTTTTTATCCACTTCAGTGAAAAAATGATCAACTTTTACTTAGATGTTAGTTAAATGGTTAACATTTAAGAGATTTGATAAATAGGTAACTTTTACACCAACTCTAGTAATGTTATATGTATTTTTACCCTTTTTAATTTAGGCTAATAGATGCCCCTGGCTAACTACTTCATGGGTATTTTTACCCTTTTTTTAGTCCATGTCAGTGAAGACTAATACATGGCATACATAGTCAGCATTTAACATCAAAAACTAACGTCGTTAGAGTAAAGTTAATGGTTTAGTCACTTCTACACCCACTCATATAACATTATGAGTATTTATACCTTCCTCACTTTATAATACTAGGTGCCCCTAGCCAACTACTTTATGTGTAAATTTTCCCTTTAACCCTTATATTAATAGCCCACAAATTTGATCATCAATGTTTAGGAGGTTCGATTGGAATCTGCAAATCATGCATTGTGAATTGTGTACAATGATGTACTACGCTGTGATCATATAAATTGTTACTATCTGTTTTACATACTCATATATGTTTTGACTTGTTAATAGGTAGTGTAGCGTATTCAGCTACTAGGATTTTGTCTTACCATATGGTTACAATTTTACATGTGACAGCGTTGGTAGGAGTAAAGAGAAGGCAATTGGGACAAGGAGTATATTAGAGTTCTACTTCTTGTAATGCCTTATTGACTTTTAAAATTTATATGTAATTGAATATATATGTGCACACGCACACGAGCAAATACATTGCCAACTAGGTGCATATAATTATTTTAGATGTATTTGCATGAATTGTATGACTATTATTATAGTAATTTGGCCTGGGATATGTATCTTGTAATGCCCTTACTAACATTAGCATACGCTCCACTACAATCAATCCAAATTAATTTCATTTGTTTTGAAAACTTGAAAACCTAATAAAAGATTTCAAAAACAACATTTATAAATTATTTAAATCATTAAATGTTACGCATAGCGGAAGCAACAAGTCTATGTGTATCAAAGACAAAAAAACATGTGCATTTTAGTAAAATTAAGGTTAAATTTAGCACCATGTACCACAGCTTGTGCCATATGTACTATGGCATGTGGCACAGAAACCATAGTTGCTTGCTTTATGCCATGTGTCGTGGCATGTGAGTACATGCATGGTGACGCATACACCTGATTCACTATCATTTTTGTAATTTCTAATATGAAATTCAAATATGCACCATTTCCACATCCGATGTCCAATTAGCGTGATTTAAATGCTCACATGAAGCTTGTTTTGAAATTTAATAAATGACACTAGTTTCATTTTAATCCAATATTTCTATCAGAAATTAGACACCCAATTATATTTTGACTATTTTTTGCCAAAATCTTGCCACTCAGGTATCTCAATTCGAAACCAAATGTCATTAGCTACTTTTTAGGCCTTGACCATATCTAAATAGATAATACATACCTGATTGACCATGCACATGCACAATATTACACAAATACATATAATTGGCCTATAAACTGTCCATTTCACACTTTTAGGCCAAAATCACAATTTCATTTCTAATCTCATACAAGGCCAAATTACCATACATACAGTTCAAATATCTCATAGTCACACCTATATATACTCATTCACTAGCCCATCCAGTCATTTCACAATTCACACACATATACAATGGGTTAGGGAGCTCAAAACCAATCAAACATAATATTTATCACAATATGTACATGTTTGGATCCTATGGCAACTTATACACATTCGTAGATATCAATCTATAAAGTCATTACATCATATCTTAGACTTATGTGAGAGATATCAACTCAACCTATATTATTTTACTTTAACCCACTACTACCAGAACTTGAAAAATGTAAATAACCACGGGTGAGATACACATCTCAATAATCAATATAGTTCATTTAGTGCCTATTACCACAAATAACCATATTAAAGTATCAAAACTAAAGTAATATTATGTATATATCAAAATATGAAATAAATTTATCTTTTCAAAGAAATTCCACACAAATACACGCTTACATGATCGTCTAGCCACTGAACCTCCAATGCTCCTTAACATGAAATAATAGGCTCTCCTAGATTAATCACTTGTTGATCGGAGTACACTTTTAGTGGTAGAAACACCGGGCCAAAGGTAATCTAACTTACTTACGGACTATAGTTTTCCTTTTCACACACTTATAATAGAGGCATCGTTGGCTCCTAACCATACCCTAACGGGTATTAGGGAGTTGTCAAATTATCCAAATGTCCTATGATAATAATCCCATAATATGCTGTATCAGATTACCCACGGTAACAGCCTGTATAATACTGCACCAGATATCCTATAGTGCCAGCTCAACCATATAATTTTTTTACTCACATATCTCCACACACACACATCCCTACATATCTTGGGTGAACTCCCACCCCTATGATCACATTTTTTCCACAATTTTTACTACTCATCCACATTTTCATAACATATACTTTCACATCATATATATATATATATATTGAAATTAATGACTTTTCAAATTCTATTTCACAAATCAATGTTCATGCTAAAATTATTCTCAATATCGAATCATGCACAAAACTCTTAAAACAACAAATTTACCATTTTGTATTTATTTCTACATAGTTGTAATAGTTAATAAACACAATAAACTATATGGTTACTTCAACCCTTTTATTCGATAGAAGGGTTAACCTGTGTAACTTCCTTACTTGAATCTCTCTCTACTTATTTACGTGTCACGTACAATAATCTACACAAAATTGACATTCAAAGTCAATTTCACTATTGACAAAAAGTGCCAATTATCGCAATTAAGCACTTAATCACTATCAATTCCAAATTCACACTCGGTTACACAAATTACTTCAGATTATCCCTCATTTCAAACTTTAACCTTTTCTAGCCAACTTTCTCTCACTACTCTCTCTCTAGATTGGGGCAAATCTTGCCTATGACTTCAAAACTTTATCGTTCTAACTCAAACCAGTCATAAAGTACTAATTTAGTTCTGAAGAACCTTTCTATTACTATAGAGTAAGAAATCAATTCCTTAAAACTCCTGAATTCAATTTCTCACTAGTTAAAACCAAGAGAAAATAGGGTAGAATTGGAGGTTAAAGAAATATAGGACTTATCCGATAAGTAACAGGTCATAAACATCATCCTTGCTCCTAATTTTGCTTACCCTAGCACATCCCCTACTCTTCTCCATGCCAGAGCCCTTCTCTTATGTTCCTCCCTTCTGTTGCACGAACTGGATACGTCCTTATTAATTAAAGTTATGCACCATGCATCGTGGTGCATTTATCCCCCGCCTTGGTGCATGGCACAATGAGGGAAATTCTCACTATAGTCACACGCTCTACTTCAAGATTCCGCTCTTTCACTCATATCTGTACATATAACATCCTAATGAGTCAATATAACACTTCACTATTAAAAATCCTAATCTCACATTAAACCATTAATTCATCCACTAATTAGTCATTAATATAGAATTAGAAATTTAGAATGTTACATGTCTCTTGGTGAAATTGTGATGTGTAGCCAAATTACGAATGCAAGTACATGGTAGTATATGATAGACTTGATGTTTGGATGATTAAATGCTACTACTTAGCCAAGTGCCATATTGATGAAATTCCCTCCTTTTGTGAAGTAGAGCAGGGATTAAATGGCCAAATAATGTTTGAAAGGTGATATATTGTGTATATATATTCTATCAGGTGTTTGTAAGTCCATAGAACTTGGCCCAAGTCTCGATTGAAGCCAGTGGCACTCTGTTTGGGTTTTGGGCCTTAGATATACTTTAAGATTGAAAATGCAACCTTTTTGCATCCAGGTATCTAATTCTCAAATAAGTTATTATTTTGGCATGAAACTAATGCCATTAATTATATGATTGAGCAAGCTTCATGTGAAAATTTGAATCACTCTGATTAGATATCAGATGATGAAATAGAGCACACCAAAAGTTGATCCGGTGTGCTATTGTGATAGGCCTTCTTTGGGGGAAATTTCTAATTGGCCCTAGTTTCAAATATCTATTTCTAAGTAGGTCCTTATGCTTCCATGATGTATTTAACTTTGATTTAAATCGCATGTTGAGCTCAATCAATATTTTTTAAATGATTTTCTTGACAGGATCCTGGTTTTCAATGATTTTAAATTATTTTATTAAAACCCTTATTATAATTGTGGTGAGTCATTAGGTTTAATGATTTCCTAATAACTGTTACAAAGTGTTATATATAATATGTTCTGGTAATATCAATGCATACATTATAGTTTCAGCAGCCTTGCGTCTTACCAAGTAATTCTGGTTCTAAACTGATAAACTCACAATTCCAAATTGTGCGCAAGCATAATCTCCTTCATGTACAATTTCTATATGACAATGTTACATGAACCAGGCTTGGAGTAGTTTTAGTACTTGATTCTTCTCTGATATGGAAGATCAGACAAAGTTGCAACCACAATACTTGAAGAAATGAGAAAAAGACTTACATGAAAGAGAAAACTTTATTGCATACTCAAATTACAAAATACACCAAATGACAAACATTTTCTTCCTTCCCTCTCCTCTTCTACATTTTTTCCGACTCCCTTGTGGCATCTTCTCTTTCACCACTCCTCTCTCCTTTTTCACCACACATGGCTTTCTTACACTTATTTATGCTAGATGAAGGAGGTGCCTAAAATGCCGTCAGTTGCCAAAGTTGCTTGCCCACTTGCTCTCCAAATTGCTTATATTTTTATTATTATTTTTTGTTTAGTGGGCCATTTGAATTTGTGATGATATTTAAAAGAATATGATATGAATGATATGTTCTTTACTTGAGATTGATAATATATGTTATGGATAGTCTACATTTTTTTAACCTTTCTTAATGAGTTCAGTGCCTATTTTGGTAGGATTTTGATCGACTTGCTTTATTTGTTCCATTTTATGAATTTAAAACCTACTTACATTCCACAATAATTCCACACACACAATTTTTCTTTCACTAATCACATGTATATGTTTTTTCCTTTTCCCCCCATTTTTTGTAACTTTAACATGTGGGAGCTGTTTTTTCATAAAGTACCTCTTTATGCACTCACCAATTAACTGCTCTCATGGGAGCATTCAAAACAAAACAAAACTCTACGTTCCTCACACGTAATCTTATCTAATTCAATATTCCTCACGTGGAACTCTCGGATTGTTCTAATTATTACTATTAGTGACCAAAGATTCGACACTGCTGCTGTTATTTGAACCAGCAAACCTCAAGAAATTCTCAATCTCATGGCTGATTTGGTCGTTGCTATCATGTCCTAGATGGAACCACTTACTAAAATGATGATGACGATGATGACGATGTGGCTTTTTCTCAGTTATGGCTATGGCCATGTCATTAGGAAACAAGTCTTGCACCACGAACGCATGAATCACAGTGCTGACAAGCAGTAAGGTCACCATAAATGTAGAGATGAGACTGAAAATTACACACATGGCTTTGGTTCCTATATTTGTAACAACATCTGAGTATCGTATGGTTGCAATGGCTGCGCCGGTCATAGGAAATGTGTAGGCCCACCATGCAAGTGAGAATCTATGATCCATTCACATAAAAACATTTGTCAGTAAACTCATAGACCAGGACACATGTCTTTTTCTATTACCCTTTACAATATTCTAACTTCATATCTTTGTTCTTTGTTTTTTTTTTTTTTTGAAATTATTAGCTTCTACGTAAAAAAAGAAACATTTTGACATTTTGAAATTCTAAAATAGTGAACTTTTTATAGTGATTTTTTTAAAAAATGTAACAATTACACCCTTTTATTTTTTAAAAATCATTAAAAAAATATAAAAATCCACCATTTCAAGGCTTTAAAATACTAAAATGTTTTTTATTTTATATATAGAAACCAATAATCCAAAAAGAAAAAAAAATGAAATTATAAAAGGACATTAAAAAAAGGCAAGTTTTAGTATCCTTTGCTTGTAAATTTATCTGTTGAATAATTAACACAAAAATGTATGGATTATGAAGATAGAACATACTTGAATCCTCTGAAGAAGTCGACCCTGACAGCCTGTTAAAATATAGGTAAGACTATCATCAGTGACTTGCCAATGAATGAGATGAGAAATTATTGCATGAAATGACGCACCACATCATTTATGCCTCATCCAATAAAATTGTACCAATTTAATCCAATAAAATTTTATATATCATTATTTTTAATAATTTTATTTTTAGAATGGAATACATATTTAATTTATTGTATTTTTTTCTCCCTACACTGTAATTAATAGCAAAATCAATTTATATTCACAGCAATCTAAATGATATATTTTTATTGGATGAAGCATTGATGACATAATGCATCAGCTCCATGTGATAATTTCTCTGAATAAGATGAAGTTGTGCAAGCTAAGGCAACTATTAGACTATGAAAAGATCTTTCACGAGAGTGACATAATTAACAAAATTTAATTTCCTGAAGAAATGTTTCTACATTTATACATAAGTTTGTATTGAAGAAGTATCGACATGGATATCAATATTGGATGCGATATGGACACAAATACGCTAGATAATGAAATGACAGTGGAAGTTACCAGAGAGAAATAAAGGAACATGGCAACGAAGTAGGAAATCCTTGATCCATAATCGAACGAGCCTTGAATCCTTGCCCATGCCATGGAAGCAACACTAGGAGCTGCAACAAACAAGAAGAACACGGGATGAAGCTCTTTTGGCAGAGTCTCATTGGTTGGGAGTCTCTGATATAGAGTGACAAAAAGGACTATGTAATGAGCAAGGCCAATAGCAAAGAAGAAGATAGGCCCTTCTTTGAGACCCATGGAAGCACCAAGCAAAGCCCCAACAAAATTCCCAACAACAGAGAGGTGATTTGACGGATTTGCCACCTTCGATAACCTCCTTTGGCCACCAGACATCCATTGTCCATAGATCTTAAGCTCAAGACAGACTATAGGAACCATAAGGATGTACCACAGAGAAGCATGAAGGTCTTTGACCAATGATGGTGGAGCTCCGAGAGCTAAGAACAAGAGAGCTATCCATGGAGCGAAGAAGAAGTTGACACGTATTGGATGGTAGTACTCACGACGAACAGCTTCGAAGTAGAAGATTACTTTCTGAAGATAGATGGTTGAGATAGAAGCAACAAGAGCGATTGCAATGAACCAGAGGATAAGATTTATTTTCAAGCTTATGTGAAGAAACTCAGTGCTTGGAGCTGTGGCTAATGTCTTCCATAGAATTGCTTGGCTGCCGACACCAAGGCAAATGCCAAATGATGAAATGGGGAAGCGAAGAAGAAATGGCCATTGTTTGTCGTGAGGCAGCAATATCTCTTCTGCATCCTGTTTCAAGAGCAAAAGCATGCATGGTCAGCTCAAAGTGAATAAATAAAGAAATGAATCCCATTAAAGATTATCTTTAATTTGGATTGAGCTGGAGGTCTTTCCCTTCCAAACATATATGCACACACATACATAATCAAGGTTAATGGAGATTTTTGCTTATCAATTATTCACTGGAGCATGTGGTATTATGAACTTTCATCTAATGCAATTTCCTCCTTCCACGTGTGAATCAATGAGAATTAATTAGACCAATCATCTTAACTCATTAAAAGACATAAACCTCTAATTTAAACCTAATTTGGTGGAAAAGTGTATTTTATGATCAGATTGCTCCTAATGTATCTATTTGAACACTTAGGCAAAATTGTACTAAGGATGTGATATTAATACATATGAAAACTCTTAACATATAAAAATGGTCCTAAAAGTAATGTACACATAAAATTTTTAATTTGTCCTTGAATTCCTAACAAAGTGCAAAATGATTAAAATACCTCTAATATGCACACTTTCTTATTAAGGCTCAAAACCTTAATTTAACACCAAGAATACACATTTTAGGATTTTTTACCATAAAATGTGGTCTTAAATACCTAAGAAAAATATGTAACAAATATAAACTATCAACATGTGAAATGATTCACTAAGCACCTTACTGTTAAAAAAATTAACTTTGACTAACTAAAAGATTGCAGAAAAAAGATATCAAAAATTAAAAAAAGATCTATAAAATTACACATAAGTATCTTATAAGAAAATTTATATCAATTAAATCTTTTAAATTACATATAAAACCGATATTAGTTTTTCTCATAGCATACTTATTTTCGATTTTATTAGTTCTTTTTCCATATTTTTTATGTCATTTTCTGTAATTTTTTCAATTAACTAATAGCTAAAATTAAATTTTTTATCAACAGGATGCTAATGTATTAGAGATAAAAGAAATCTCACATTTAGAAATAAAAAATAAATTATGAATATATAAAGTTTGAGATATGCCTAATCAAATGACTTAAACTATTTTAGTGAAATAGATTATTCTTAAATATACTTAATATAAAGATCTAACTCAGTGCTCAAATGTAAATTTAGGATATCATCCCCTCTCGATCGAATAATTGAGGGGCAAGTGTATCATTTAATCCTATATATGTAGTGAGATTGTTAATTTATTTCCGTGCGTGCTATACTAGTAAGATCGACATACCCTGAGAGTCTCCAACTCAGGACCTTCCAATGCATCAAAGTAGCGATCAACAGGAAGGGGTTTATCATTGCCTGTCATATTGTTGTCATGATCTGGAAGATGTGATGGTTTAGGTGACTTGCCACGTAGCATTGTTATCTGTCTTTCAAGTTTACCAGACCACGTCTTGAAGCTATCATATCTGATATCCCTCGACTTACAAAAGTTATAACTGAATGCCTCTGGAAACTGATCACAACCTTTTGGCATTGGTTGAGAATAACTTGTTGGTTCTTTCACATCTATCTCTCCACTAAATGTAACTCTTTTGCTGTTCTTTGGCATGCTGACAGAAACTGAAGGTTTCATCTCATCATACATGGCCTCAGATTCATTGTTACCTCTGCTTTGTACTGAGACTGCTTGACTTTCCTGTTAGAGAAACCGATGGATTTTAATTAACCTAAGTATAAATGCCAGAAAGTTCAAATTATACAGGTACTCTAATGTATTATGACAAGTTAGCCTCACTTGAGGAGGTATGACGAGAACTTGAAGATCACTGGCTTGCTCAGTTTTCTCAGAACTAGGTGCGTTGTTTGTACTATTTTCCATGATGGAGACCTGAAAGATTAGACAGATGATTCATCAGTTGCATGTTAGCTAGAAAGACATGTTCAACCAAAAAGTCAAGTAGATTAGGCCAATGATTAATAGATATATGACATGGCCAGTTTTAAATTTGTTTAATAAGATACTTGAATGCATACCTGACTTGCTTTAGATACGTTTTCTTCCAGAGTAGTATTTTTGGTAACACAAGATGAACAAGAACATTATATGGATTGAAATGAAATAAACAACCAAGAACTATGCAACAGATCTCTATTATCACAGTCCACTTTCTGATTTTATGTTGACATTCCACAACAAGTATTCTAAGAGATCATCACATTCTTCCAATTTTGGTTTTTGGATATTGTGCTGTAGAGAGTCTCACATCAAAAAGCCTCATAAATAAAGTGTGATTTATAAATTCAAATGACTCTCCATCGTCTTTTGAGATGGACTCTTTATTTAAAGTTGTCTCATAAGTCTCAAAAGTAAAGTGGGGTTTGAAAGTTCAAAGGTTCTCTTTGTGAACTTATGCTCATATATGATGCGTACAAGACAGAGAAATATGCAAATATCTCTCGTCCATCTTGTTTTATGAAACTAGGTTATATATATATATATAGATAATCCCACATCATGGCAGGCGCTTTTGGGTCAAATTAACAAACAGTTAAAAGTCATTTTACCGTAATGATGGGGGGCAACAAGTTTTCAGTGTTTTTCATGCGTTCACTAGATTAAACAGCTCAAGCATATCAGTCTGTATTTCCTACAAATGGAGATGGGAAAGAGGTAATGTATGAGAAAGAGCAAGAAAAGGATCAAGAACTCGAACCTTCTAGTTTTGTGATGTTGTACATATACCAGGCCACTTCGATTCAGATCTCACAATGCAGAAACTTGAAATCGAGTTTAGAGAATTGTACACACAATATTCCCTCGTCTCCCTTCTAGCTAGAGGATAGAGATTATGATGATCCAAAAATGAAATGTAAACGCAGAATTTAGATCCAAAATGAAATGGGAATAAACCAATAATTTAAATTCACAAATAAGGAAAGAGAGACACAGGGAGACCAGTTAGGCCATTAGCACATGCTGCCATTTCGTGCAAAGCACTCCATTTATTTAAGTTGAGCTAAGGGTTAGAGCTATCAATTAGAGTTGACTCTTGTTAGGATTTAAACGAGTTAGTTCTATTAAGCCGGTTATACTTCAGGGCTCCATTTTGATTAGTTTGGTCTTGGTTCTCATGGCCTCAGGCCTATATTTTTTTTCTTTTTTTAATTTAAAAGTCCAACAAATATGTTTAAAATCTCAAAAAAGTTATCACTTATAACATAAAATTTAGAAAACAAATTTAAGTCAATACACATAACAACAAATTTAAGTCTAGTAAAAAACTCATTACAAAATCAACACCAATATTAATCTAACTTTGCTAATATTGTCAGCTAAATTTTGAAGATTTTTATTATCATCAACATCAATATAATTTGATCCTTCTTCTTATGGAACCTCCTCAGTAACAAAGATATTAAGCTTTTCATGTATTGCTTCTTCATCCTCGTAAAATGAGGCTAGGGTTTTAAAATTACTGTAGTGTTTATTTTTTTTAATATTAAAATTTTAAAAAATTATAAAAAGATTTAAATAAGGCTGGTCCTTTTATATTGGAGCTTAAAAGGAATAACCTTTTTAAGCCAGAATTGTCATTTTACACTCTAAAATAGTGGCCTAACCCCAAATATTTTCAACATTAAAAGAGCTGGCCCAATAAACTCGATCCTAATTAACGACTCTATTGAGGATCCCATTTAGATTATCTATGAAACTCATCATTCAAGATATTTACTTCCTCAAGTCTGTAGTATAAATGGTTTTTTTTTTATAAACTTTACTCGATCCAAAATATATGGTATTAGATAAGTTTTATATATTTTTTCAATTAGACTATTAATTTATTATATTCCACTCGTGTAATTAATGATGATGTTTTGAATAATTCAAATTATTATATTTATTTTACTCAAGAGCACAACTAGATATATGAGATTTTTTTTGTTAAAATAATCAAGATTTTAATAAACTTTTTTTTTTAAGAAACATAAGTTAATAATGACATATATTATGGTTCAGTGTAAGAGCAGTCAAGAATGTATGGTCTAGCCTATGTCAAGTCTAGCCTAAGTTATTTACTAAATAGGCCTAGGTTAAGTTCAGGCCTTTAATTAGGTCTATTTAGCTAAATAAGTTAGGCCTAGTTTTATCAAGGCCAAACTTACAAGCCTAATAGGCTGGCCTTTTGACATATATGTTATTATATAATTTATTACATACATATCAGTTTTATCATTTAAATTTTAATCAATTTTTTATTTTTTTTCTAATTATGCTGTCTATTAGATTGGACTTATATATTTATTTTAATATTATTATTTTATTGTTGTATTGTAGTTGGTAAGTTATATTAATTATCATATATTGAAAATAGTAAATTATGTTATCTAAATATAGACTTTATTTTATTTTTTTGGTCAGAAATATAGACTTTAATAGTCCTAAAGTATATTAAAAATGTTTAAAACTAATATGTAAGTTTATTTAAAAAGCTTACTTTTAAGGAGGCTTGTAGATTAAGCCATGTTTTAAGTAGACTTAAGTTGAGTCATAAAAAAAAAAATCTTATACATGTTTCAATCAGACATCTAACCTATCATACAAGGTCAAACTTATTTAGTTAAAATTTAATTTAATTTAGTCTATTTTTACCTTTAGCTTCGAGGGAGTGAATTTAAGGATATTTTTTTTTTTTTTTCTTTTTCTTTTTCTTTTTTGAGAAAAAGAAGAAGAAGAATCATATAGCAAAACATGTTCTAGGACAGTCACATTTCGTGAATTGTAAGCAATGAGTTTTCTGTAAGATGGAGGTTAGGTCAGTAGTTAAATATTAATACGCTTCATCCGGGAACCGGAAAACAAATAATATTATATATAGTGATTGACTCTGGGCATAATAAAGTTTGAGAATTTAATGATTAAAAAGAGGTTTTGAAAGTGAATTTGTAAGTGCTTAATGCAGCAATCGACAATTAGAAATATTTTATTAAAAAAATTGGAGAACCCGGAGCAAGTTAAATAGAACTCTCTCTCTTTTTTTTTTTTTTAAATGAGAAGTTAAATAAAATTCTCCATCATAGTAACTATAACAAGTCATGTTCTAAATATTATATATTATTAAAAATAAACACCATGATATTAAAAATGTCATTAATATTTTCATTTATAATTCATTTAGTCTACAAAAACATATTAAGAAACTTGTATTCGTAACTATAAAGAACTAATAATCAATTAACTTAATTTTAAAGGAAAAAATAGACAATTGGAAAGAGGGAATAATTTAGGAATGTAAAGAAATATATACGAGGCATCCATGAAGGAAACATTGGGAATCAAAAATCAGAATACTTTGTGTCCCCACTTTACTATTGCTAGAAAATAATATATTTTCATCCACAAAGAAAATATTTATCATTCATTTAGAAACATAAATTACATACTTCCTCCGTTTAATTCTCTGAAAACAAAATTATCACACCTAACTAAGGATCATGGTTCCACCACTAATTATGCGAGTAGAGCTACAAGCATATAAAAATATACCATATATGGTGTAATTTTGCCCACCAACTTTGAAATACATTTATTTAAATTTATCCTAGGTATAGAAACCGAGCTAGGCACACGTTATAAACATACTCCCTTCATTTTCAAATATAAGATAATTTCAACCAACTCACATAATTTAAGAAAATTAGTTAATCCTAATTATTTTGTCTTAAATTAAAATGTTTGGATTAAAATGCCATTCTAATTAATGTTTACTTTTTTTCTCTAATTCAATAATAATATCTATTTATGAAAGACAATTTAAAAAAAATGTAATTAATACTTCTTGAATTTGAAATTTTGCTTATAATAAAAAATAATAAAATATAGGATAGTTTCTCTTGTATTTGAAAATTGAGAGAGCAATATACTTTTACACCCAATTTTTCCTACAACAATTAGTTTTAACATTAATTAATTATGGGTTAAGAACTAATGCACCATCATAATTATTAAATGGTAGCACTCAAAAATGTTTGGAAAAATATCAATCAATGACCGCTAGAAGAAATTTATATCATTTAAGAACTAATAGATTTTAAGATTTCACTATAGTTCACTGGTCTTTAGATGAAATTAATTTTTTAAGTGAAATGATCACATTGCTCCTAAAATTTAAAATAATTTAAAAAAGTCATCCCCATTATCACCAGTATCAGCCTCTAGGGACCTTATTGCCATTGAGGTTACTAGAACCCCTACTGCCAACAAGGTCACTGATGATGAGTCACCTGAAAGTGGGCAAGGGGGATTTGATTCCATAACTCTTGGGCACCTAAAAAAATAGTAGCCACCAAGCCATTAAGTCCTCTAAATCATGTATGATAAAAAAGAATATATGTAGTAACTAAAACTTCTACAAATGATAGTTCTTCGTCAACAAGTATTCATTCCAGTTTTAACAATAATGCATTCAAAATTACCAATAGTCCATTTAGGCTTTACAAGTTAACAAAAATTATAGGATGAGCTTAATTGTACAAGTATCAGTCCTTCATCAACAAGTATCCATTCAAGTTTTGACAACAACTCATTCGAAATAAACAACAATTATTCAGTCTTTAACAAGTTAGAAAAATTAATAGGATGGACTTAATTGTTCAAGGATTAGTCCTTCATCAATAAATGTCTATGCAAATTTGACAACAATTCATTCGAAATTAACAACAATCTATTTGAGTTTGAACAAGTTAGAAAAACTAATAGGATGAGCTTAATTGTACAAGCGTTAGTCCTTCATCAACAAGTATCCATTCAGGTTTTGACAACAACTCATTTGAAATTAATAACAATTCATTCAGTTTTTAACAAGTTAGAAAAACTAATAGGAAGGGCTTTATTATACAAGCATTAGTTTTTCATCAATAAGTATCCATTTAAATTTTGACAACTCATTCAAATTTAACAAAAATATATTCAATGTTTAAAAAGCCAGAACAATTGACAACATAGATCTAATTGAATAAGTTTTAAGCCAGCATAAACAACAAGCCATTTAGGTTTTGACAATAACCCATTCATGATTACCAACTGGTTTGTTCCATTGGACCTGTGTTGTCAGTTTTTGTAACTTGTTAAGTCTGAATATATTATTATTAATTTCGAATGAGTTGTTGTCTAAACTTAAATAGATACTTATTGATAAATAACTTACACTTATATGATTAAACCCATCCTATTTCAATTTGTTATTGTTAAAACCTGAATGGATATTTATTGAAGAAGGAGTAACACTTGTTAGAAGTTTAGGCTACCACATATATTCTTTTTGCCATTTATGATTAAGAGGGCTTGGTGGTTTGGTAGCCAACCATCTTTTTAGGTGGTCGAGGAGTCATGGGATCAAATTTTCCTATGGCCATCTTCACCCATTATTCCTTAATAAATTGCCACCAATGTCGGAGCTTCAATAACTACCAGCAACCCATCGACCTTGTTGGCGATAAGGTCTTCAGTGGCAATTCAACGACCAACACTGGTGACAATGAATATGACATTTTTAAATTATTTTAAATTTTAGGAGCAATTAGATCATTTTATGTAAAAAAAAAATCAATTTCATTTAAAGACCAATGGACTACAATGTAATTTCAAAATCCATTGGTCATTAAATGGTATAAATTTTCTCTAGCAATTCTTGGTTGATATTTTCCCAAAATGTTTAAACATCCACCCCCAATTTTTCAAAGGGAGAATTTCATTACATACTGGTCCAATGACATTTTATCAAATCAAGATAAAAAATTCTAAAAATTCATTGCAAGATTAATGGACTTAATTGAAAATATGTTCTAAAAGGAAAGGACCATAATATCCTTTATGGTTTTAGCAAGTAGCATTAACAAATTAACAATTAGTGTTAGTCAATTAACAATTTTAAGTTAGGGTTTTAACAGGTTACCAAAATTAAATATGTAGAGGCTACTATCAAAAAGTTTTACTAATAACAAGTAACATCAATAAAATAACAAGTTAGGTTAGTATTTTAACAAGCCACTACAAGATTTAATATATAGAGGGTATAGTCAACAAGTTTTGCTATTGAATTAACAAGAAGCATTAATGAATTAACAAGTGAAATTAGGATTTTAACAAGTCACTAAATTTAAATATGTAGAAGGTGCTGTCAATAAATTTTGCTAGTGTATTAACAAGTTGCATTAATGAAATAATAAATAACACTATTAAAAAGTTCACTTCTAATCAATGATTAATAATGGGTATTATAATTGTTTCCCTTCAAAATATATTTTCAATTAAGTCACTTGATCTTGCAGTAAATTAATTTTTAGAGTTTTATGAAATTGATTTGATATAACGTCCCACCAGTTACCCTACATATAATGAAATTCGCCCTTTTTCAAATTTATCGAGAATTAATTATAAAAAATTTAAAATGCACTACTATATTTATATAAAAACCAACTTAATTTCTATCCAAGTCCGAAAACACCTCTAACTGTATCACAAAGTAAAGTAAAACAAGAGCCCAGAAAATAAAGAAGAAAAGGAGATAAACAGGCAAAGAATCTGTGAAAAGAATTGGACAACAGTAACGCAAGTTTTCTTCAGGTATATATAGCATCGAAATATACAATATAAATAGAGAAAGAAGAGACCACGTATACCTGGAAAATATTACTTCATATATATGTGTGAAGTGTTGTTTCTGGCGGTGGAGTTCTGAACTTTTGTTTGAAAGGAAGAGGGGGGAGAGAGAGATTGAGATTTAAGAGGATGCCTCTCTGCCTCCCTTCTTTGATTTTATTATGTAACTAAGGAGAGGTTCAAAGAAGGTACAACAGACACTGAAGATGTATGTATATAAGGGAAGGAAAGTTGTGATGTCATAACAAAGAGAGGCTTCAAAGCAGAGGACGTGAGAATTTTCAGGAAGCTAAGCCATAATCTGATGTTGCTTTAACAAACTTGTTATTAATTATCTGTCAAGACAGTTATGAAGGAAAAAAAAATTAGTGTACATGTGTTGCACCACCTTATTTTCTACATTATTTTATGATATTATTAATTTTAAACTATATCATTTTAATTTAAAATTAAAGGACATCTTTATCTTTCGACTATTCATTAAGGAATATTTAGTATTCTAAACTTTTTTGCGGTACTATT